GGAGACGGAGAAAAACAGAGACAAATGAACTGAGACATTTTTAAGCACAGCTGAGGCCAGATGAAACCCTGGCCTCTGATGGACTAACAGTGACCTAGAACTAATTGGCATGTTTATTATAGAGTCTTCTAATCAGGAAGTTTAGCTATCAGGGCATTATAAATTCTTCGAGGCTTGTGAGCTATTAAGAGGCTTCTTTGCGCGCTAAAAAGTTACAGAACAAGAAGCTTTTTACAGCTATCCTGCTGTGCCCAGAAAACCCATTCTACTGGAACTTTTATAACTGTTAGTGTCAGAGCTGAGTGTCAAGGCTGTTCATGTCCTCACCTTTTGGCAAGGAATGTTTCCCAGGCTTGGCTTTTGCCAACACAGTATCAGCCGATGGTTGGGGGTTTAACTGTTCTGCCCAATTTGTATTCCTTTAGATTTGTTAAGGTGTGTTGTGTAGTTCAGAACATGGTCCATGTTGGTAATGAATCTATACTGTGGTAGAACAATAATGGGAACATTGGCATTTTAAGAGCTGACAGGCTGTGGTTTTTGCACGCTGACACAGAAACTCTGCTTACTGACATGTAAATATAGAGGCTTGGGGTGGCTAACAGGTACCTGTAAAAGATAACTGCAGGGCAGAAGTAGGAAACCCAGCAATGGGGACAGAATAATCCCAGTTTAGGCTTAGTGCAGTAAAAATCCCTAAGCAGTAGGAGCTAACAGTCTCTGGACTGTTGACAACTTGCACCCATATAAGAAAAGTAGAATGCACCTTCCAATAGAATTGCATCCTTGCCTGAGGTACCCCAACTGTGCTTATGTATAAAAGTAAAAGCCCTGCTGTGTTCAGGGCTCAGGCTTTGGGAATTATCCCTCTGGGCTGTGGAGCCAGGAATAACATATTGCTTCCAGATCTCACTGTCCTAAATCTCATTTCCTGCTACACTGTGATCTTGACAAGAATGTGTACTGAGGCTTGGGATGTGGCTTAGTGGTAGGCACACTTAGCTAGTATTTGCAAAGCCTGGGTTCAGTCTCAACACTACAAAAGGATAAGGCAGAAGAACTTGCACGCTGTAGTGGTTTCTACCTGAGCAGATGTCTCTAGTTGATGTCTGATGTTATTAATTTCAACTATTCCCGTACTGATTTTCTGACTTATTGATCTATCCTTTGCTGGTAGAGATGAGTTGAAATCTGAAGATATAATTGTGAATCTGTGATTTTTCCCTTCAGTTCCATGTTTTGCCTCATGTGATTTGATGCTCTGTTTAAGAAACTATATATTAAGGATTTTTATGTTTTCCTCGAGAGTCAACTGTTTTATCATTATTTAATCCCTTTATTCCTTATTATTTTGTTTGAGGTACAACTTGATTGGTACAAAATTAATAGTTTCCAAAATTGTTTTGGGGTCAAAATAAGAATAGACATAACTTTGGGCTGGGGATGTGGCTCAAGCGGTAGCGCGCTCGCCTGGCATGCGTGCGGCCTGGGTTCGATCTTCAGCACCACATACAAACAAAGATGTTGTGTCCACCGATAACTAAAAAATAAATATTAAAATTCTCTCTCTCTCCCTCTCTCTCTCTCTCTCTTTAAAAAAAAATAGACATAACTTTAGATTTAATTCATTTTTGTCTTCATATTGATGTATTTTAAAAATATCTATATATTTAATTGATAAAAATTGAACGAATTTGTAATTTCACATATGATGCTTTCAATCAGATGTCATGGCTTAGGAAGAAGGTGGTACGTCCAAGACCAATCCTGTGCCACTTAGAACCTGTACTAAAATAAAAATTTAAAAATGTATTAGCTGCAACTCACAACTCAATGCTCCTGGTTTCAATGCCCTTTATCACACAAATGTGCACGTACAATTTAGCCATTGTTGAATTATTAAATTGAGCTTATTACCAACTATATTACTTCACATATATATTTTTTGGGATGAGGGAACTGTAAACATAATCCTCTAGTGATTTCTCACAGTACTAGATTTCTTTATTTTTTTATTTTTAAATATTTTTTTTTTAGTTGTAGTTGGACACTATACTTATTTTTATGTGGTGCTGAGGATCAAACCCAGGGCCTTACACGCAATAGGCAAGCGCTCTACCTCTGAGCGACAACCCCGCCCCAGTACTAGATTTCTTGAATTTATTTCTCATATATAAAATAAATTTTGAGTCCTGACTTGATGTCTTGACAGTTAAAAATAAAACAAACCTGTTTTTGTCTCATAAAGTACACAAGGGTGGATCTTGTTTTCTACCAGTCTGTCTACAGAGCATTCACATTTAAAGTGATTATTGATATGGTTGGGCTAATATACACCATATTTGTAACTACTTTCTGTTTGTTTTACTTTATGTGATCCCTTTCCTACATCTTTTTGCTTCACTCTTCAAGAACTTCTTTCCAAAAGGCATGCCAAGGTGATACACTGTTGAAACAGTCTCTGAAGCCTATTCTCTGTTCTTTGTGTTCTTCCAACCACGAAATTTCAATCATTTAACTTCATCTTAGTTGATTCTCTGTTCCCCTTGTTCCAGTATGCCACGGAACACCCATGGTTATAGCTTCATGTAAGTTGTTATAATTGGAATCTGCAAATTACTCTATGGTCTTTTTTTGTTTGGCTGGTTGCTTTTTTGTTTGGTGGCACTGAGGATTTCGGCTTTATCACAGAGCCATATCCCTGGCCCTTTTTAATTATTTTTTTAAGAATTACAGTGTTGCTGAGTTGCCAAGGCTGGCCTTCAACTTGTGATCCTTCTGCCTTAGCCTACTGACTCAGTGGGATTATAGGAGTGCACTACTCGCCCAGTGAATGTCTTTGTTGACTGAGTTCAAATTCTGAGGTTTCCTTGAAATGGATTTTCTCTATTTTTTTCTATTAATGAGCCTTCTCCCCCTCTTCTTTATTACTATTACTATTATTATTACGGGGATTGAGCCCAGGGGTATTTAACCACTGGGCCATATCCCCAGCCTTTTTAATATTTTATTTAGTGACAGGGTCTTGCTCAGTTGCTTAGAGTCCTGCCAAGTTGCTGAAGCTGGTTGTGAATTTGCCACCCTCTTGCCTCAGCTTCCCAGATTGCTGGGCTTACAGGAGTGCACCTTGATTTCTCTTTTTTGCTATTGTTGCTATGTGAACATTTGAGGAGTCTAATGGGTATCTATATGGATCAGATTCTCTTCTTTCAGTGTGTGAGTAGAAATATTTGATGAGGTTAAATTTGATTTCAGCCACTGGTGTGAAGGTTGTGGTAAAATTGAAATTACAGTGTCAGGGTTATGCATCAGTTTATCCTCCATTTATATATAAGCCTGTGTGTTTTGCTATGATCGTCACTATTTATATGTATTTGGCTTGTTCCTCAAACAAGGACACAGTTCTCTTTATGGTGTCTTATATTGAGTTAAAGTGTTTAGAGTGTCTTTAATCATGTATTCACTTATTTTTGTTCTGTGCATTAATCATGTTTATTGTGGGGATAGTGAGGATTGGACCCAAGGCTTTGCACATGCTAGGCAACTGCTCTAACACTGGCCTACACTGCAGCCCTTTTTCTTTTTGGGTGCGGGTATCTCCACCATGCGACCAGCGCACTGGTTTCATTAATGAGGTTCTTGGCATAAAAGTTAGCTAGTGAGATTGAAATAAAACACACAGACTCAGTTACCTTTTTCTATGACCAGTTCCGAGACGGCTCCCCTCTCTGGTTCCCACCTCGAACCACCCGGTAGGGCAGCAAGGATTACTCAGGGCTAGCAGGAGAGAGAGTGAACATTGCCAGGGAGTAGCCTTTTATTGGGGAACAAGAATTTCAGGGGAGAATTCCATCCAATAAAGGTTGAGGGGGGCCGCACTCCAAGGTCAGGGTCAGTGATTGGCCCCCAGGGTCAGTGGTCAGTCACACCCCCACACGGACGGGCTCTCTCATCAGGAGAGGGCCGGGAAAGCTCCGACACAGATTAGCCAGAGCACCTCAGACCCAAACCGGGAGTTGCCCAGTCACGTGTGAGAATGGCTCTCCACAGGTATCAGAGATGGATCTCTCTCTCTCTCTCTCTCTCTCTCTCTATATATATATATATATATATATATATATATATATATATATATATATATAGAAAGTCCTAGTTGATGGGATTATACACATGTACCAATGGAGCAAGCATGAACAATTTTTTGTTTTCCTACCAAAGGGTTTTATTATTAACATTTTTTGATTTTATAAGTTCATGTAAAGTTGACACCTTGGTGACAGTGAAATCTTTCTAAGAACATGTACCAATATTCCCTTTATTTTATTGTTTTTTTAACATTCTCCTACTAAAACTTTAATGATTACCTATTAGTCTACTGAATTATCCTTCTTATTTAATTATCCGTCTTATTTACTATTTAATTCTGATTGATGTACAGGAACTAAGATATAGGCTTCCAGTTGTGGTCCCTTAGTGCAAATCCAAAGAATGGACTGAATTCCCTATACAATGAGTTGTAAAAAGAAGTTTTAAATCTGATCTAAAGATCAGTTCCCAAGAGATTCATCACCGAGAGAATATTTGTGGGCTAATGAGATTGGAAACCTCTGACAAGCATGTCAGAATATTGCAAACATTAGGGGACTAACAGGACTTAGGCTGCATTTTGTTGGGATAACCCTCTTGGGAACCCCAAGCCCCTCCTGCAGTTATTCTGGTGAGGTCCATCTTAACAGTAGTTCCCAGAGAGCAACAAAAATCAAAGTTTGTTCATAAGCATTTCTAAGAATATGCTGTCTCAGGACAGCTACTGTTATTTTGTGCAGTAAATAATTGGACTTTTTTTCTGAGAAGTGCCAGAGACCCTCGTGCAGAAAGAATTAGAGACCCAGCAGCACAGCCAGTGTTCCTGTTCTCCCTGTTTCTCTACCAGTAGGTGCAATTCAGCACCAGAATTGCTATGTGAGCCTGGCTGGAGAGTAAGAGTGTGACACCAGGTGATGGAGTATTGGGAGGACATGGTATCCTGTGAAATTCTCACACAGTGAGTGCAGGTCTCCAGTGCTGTGTGTCTCACCTTCCTCCTGGGAATACCTGTGGGATATTTCAGGAGCCAGTGACCTTTGAGGATGTGGCTGTGAACTTCACCCTGGAGGAGTGGGCTCTGCTGGATCCTTCCCAGAAGAAGCTCTTCAGAGATGTGATGCAGGAAACCTTGTGGAACCTGACCACTATAGGTAAGGGTGACATACTTTCCTCACTTAGTCCATCAGAGAACTGTGGTTACTTKCTTGTCAGTTCTGTTCCATGATCTGGAATATGGAAAGCCCACATTTTGGTGACTATATTAGCATGGTGACATTATACAACAGATCTACAAGACTCTGATAGTTTTTTCTGTAATGTTGAAATGAGTCATAATGATGTTTTTGGGTCTGCATTTTAGGAAAACAATGGAAAAATCAGGCCATCGATGATCACTACAATTCCAGGGGAAATCTAAGGTAATTGAACTCATTAGAGAAGGCAGTATCCCTCAGAAATCTGGGAGTAACTTATACAAAATCATGAAAAGAAGGAAAAGACACATGCCAAGGTTCAAATTGATTTATCTCTATTTGTTCACAACGATGCATACAATGATGCAGGTTGAGCATGCATAATTGGAAAGTTCAAAATCCAAAGTGTTCCAGTGCAGGCAACATCTGGAACAGACTTGATGTCATAGGTGACACTTTCTGGTAGTTTTTTATACAAAGTGGTTTTTTTGGTATATAAATTATTGAAGATTATGAAATTATCTTCAAGTGGGACTCATTTTGAAGATATTTTACTGTGTATACACAAATATCACAAAATCCCAATCTGAGTTTTGTCTCATGCATTTTTACACAAGTAGTACTCAATTGTATTTACAGATAATAAACATTTTCATGGTTAACAAAATCTTAATTTGGCAGGATTATTTAGAAACCTGAACTGGGCAGTGGTGCATTCCTCTAATCCCTGCAATTTAGGAGGCTGAGGGAGAGGAGCTCCAGTGAGAGGCAAGTCTCAAAAAAAAACAAAAAAAACTTTAAAGGACTGAAATGTAGCTCAGTAGTAAAGCTTACACAGCATAAAGCCAATTCTTCTGCTAAATCATTAGTAAACAAATCCTCAGTAATGTGCTTTTCATTCTTTGCAGAATTCAAGTGTTAGGGAGAGACTGTGAACAGAAAGAAGATAGTCAATATGGAGAAATCATCAGCCACATCATAAATCCTTTTGTAAACAAGAGAAATTCTTCTGGAGTAAAACCTAGTGAACACCATGTGTGTGGAGAAGTCACCATTACTGATCCATCCCTAGTTGTGCCCCTGACATCTCATGCTGGACACAAAGCACATGAGTATCCAGAACATGGAGGGAAGCCATATGAATATAAGGAAGATGGGAAACCCTTGCATGATCCCCAGCGTTTTCAGAAGCATGAAAGAACTCACACAGCAGAGAAACCCCATGTGTGTAAGCACTGTGGAAAAGCCTTTCGTTCTTCAAGCTACATTAAAATTCATGAACGAATTCACAGTGGAGAGAAACCATACAATTGTCAACAGTGTGGAAAAGCCTATCGTTTTTACTATGACCTTCAAATTCATGAACGAAATCACAGTGGAAAGAAACCCTATGTGTGTAAGCAATGCGGAAAAGCCTTCAGTTCTTCCAGCTACATTAAAGTCCATGAACGAATTCACAGTGGAGAGAAACCTTATAACTGCAAACAATGTGGGAAAGCCTTTACATTTCTCAATTCTCTTAAAATTCATGAACGAGTTCACAGTGGAAAGAAACCCTACATATGTAAGCAATGTGGAAAAGCCTTTAGCTCACGCAACAATGCTAAAACACACAGACAAAGCCATAGTGGAGAGAAGCCCTATGTGTGTAAGCAATGTGGAAAAGCCTTTAGTTCTTATGGTTACATTAAAAAACATGAACGAATTCACANCATAGTGGAGAGAAGCCCTATGTGTGTAAGCAATGTGGAAAAGCCTTTAGTTCTTATGGTTACATTAAAAAACATGAACGAATTCACAGTGGAGAGAAACCTTATAAATGCAAACAATGTGGGAAAACCTTTACATTTCTCAGTTGTCTTCATATTCATGAACAAATTCATGAAACCCTCCATGTGTAAGCAATGTGGAAAAGCCTTTAGTTCATCAGCAACGCTAAAGCACACAAACGAATCCACAGTGGAGAGAAACCTTATAAATGCAAACAATGTAGGAAAACCTTTACATTTCTCAGTTGTCTTCATATTCATGAACAAATTCACAGTGGGAAGAAACCCTCCATGTATAAGCAATGTGGAAAAGCCTTTAGTTCATCCAGCAACGCTAAAGTACACAAATGAACTCACAGTGGAGAGAAACCTTATAACTGCAAACAATGTGGGAAAGCCTTTACATTTCTCCGTTCTCTTCAAATTCATGAACGAATTCACAGTGGAAAGAAACCTTACATATGTAAGCACTGTGGAAAAGCCTTTAGATCTTCAAAGTATGTTAAAATCCATGAACGAATTCACAGTGGAGAGAACAATGTGGGAAAGCCTTTACATTTCTCAGTTCTCTTCAAAGGCATGAACAGATTCACAGTGGAAAGAAACTATATGTAAGCAATGTGGAAAAGCTTTTAGATCACCCAGCAATGCTAAAGCACACAAACAAATCCATATTAGAGAGAAACCCTATGTGTGTAAGCAATGTGGAAAAGGATTTAGTTCTTCTAGCTACATGAAAACACATGAACGAAGTCACAGTGGACAGAAATCATGCATTTGTAAACAATGTGGAAAAGCCTTTAGTTCTTCCATGTATGTTAAAATCCATGAACGCATTCACAGTGGAGAGAAACCTTATAAGTGCAAACAATGTGGGAAAGCCTTGGGGTTAGGGTTAGGAAAACAAAATCTTTATTTTCAAGAATACAAATCAGAGGGTTAGGGATATAGCTCAGTTGGTAGAGTGCTTGCCTCACATGCACAAGGCCCTGGGTTCAATCCCCAGCACCACACACATACACACAAATACACATCAGAAACACACAGTGCAGAGATCTACTTTAAGAATAAATTACTGGGCTGGGGTTGTGTGTGTGTAGTAAAGTAGTTCTCCCACTCTGTGGGCAATCTCTGCACATTATTGTTTCCTTTGCTGAGAAGAAGCTTTTTAGTTTAAATCTATCCCATTTATTAGTTCTTGATTTTATTTATTAATAAATAAAAGGAAGTCAGAGCCTAATTGACATGATTAATAAATAAAAGGAAGTCAAGATGGCACCTGGCAGTTTGCCAGGAAGAGTGGTTTGTGAGGCAAGGCCACCAAGCCATTAAGTTGGTGAGGATTCCTTATTGGCTGACTGCTGTATCTGGATGATGCTAATTGAGTCAAGCTGTGTGTAATCAGTTGGGTACATAAACCTCTGTTGCTTCACATTAAGCAGTTCTCGCTTCAACCTTCAAGTTGCTTGTCACCTCCCGGTTATTTTGCCCAGCCGGACTGCGGCAACCTAAGATATTGAGTACATTGTTTAAAATATTTTCCTGTAAACCTTTGCCAATCGTGATTAAGCTTTTATGTTTTTATCTCAATCACTAGGTGCTAGACTATGCAACTCGACTACAGGTCTCCTGCCCTACCATTAACTTTTAACTTTAAAGCCTACCTATGATGACTGGTAAGCTTTCTTCTAACCTAAAGTCCCAATAAAACACACTTAAAATAGTGAAAGTCTATTACTTAAAAGCCTACGACTCTGAAGTGACTCTAAAATATATGTATGTTAATTTTACATTACTCTATTTTTAATTTCCAATGTAATTTCCTTTTTTCATATGACCTATTTAACTTCTTTCTTAAAGAAGTTCTCTGATCCTTAGTCAAAGCACACCAAGTCATGGACATCTTTGTATTCTTTAACTAAAGGACAGGCTCTGCACCTCAACCCATTTGCAGTTAATATTATCTATGAGTTCCCCATTCTCATCATAAATTCCTGTGTAAGGCAAAGGAGGTTCTGTTAGTGGGGGGAATGTATGTTGCACAGGTCGTGGCTCTAGAACGGGGGTTTAGTGTAAATTGTTGCTTAGGCTTGTGGAATAACACTATTGTTTGTATCCTGAGAGATACTGAAATACACCTCGGGGCATGTCTTAATTGTATCCTTAGTCTCGTTCTGGGAATTTTCCTGAAATTTCAGGCAATACATACTTCTATTATTGATTAACATATACCTTATTACCCATATCATGAGTATCATAAACAAAACACTCAACATTCCTCATGGTTTCCAGATGATGTGGCCCTGCCGCAGCAGCCCCCACGCTGTCGCCCGGTCAAACAATGGGTGCAGGAACACCTTCACCACTGTGTGTAAAGAAAGCAGAGAAGCCTTCACTCCATCCAGTTACCTTCTCAAAATTCAAGGAACTCACACTTGAGAGAAACTCCATGAGTGTAAGCCATGTGAGAAAGCTTTATTGTTTACAGTTTCCTTTGATACTAAGAAAAAATTCACAGTGAGGAGGAACCTTAATGATGTCAGCAATTTGGGAAATTCTTTATTCTCAGATTCTTTCACATACATGAAAGAACACACTGGAGAGTAACTGTGAATACAGAAAAATGGGAAGTCTTTGCTATCACATGAACTTGTTAGCAAACATGAGAATGCACTTGCAGTAACTTGTATTTTTGCAAAGGATGTGGGGACATAGATACAACAATTCTCAATAAAATTCTGGGAAATTACATACAAAAACATATTAAAACGATAATGCACAGTGACCAAGTTTCATTCCAGGGATGCAAATTTGGTTCAACATACAGAAGTCTGCCGCAGTCTGGCTGGGCACAGAATCACAAGCCACTCGAGCAGGAACAAAACTTTATTTTTTAAAATGCCGCCAATACCCCGTAAGTGTCTGGCCAGCAAGCCGGTCCACCCACGCGGATCTGTCTACCGGAACCGGGGGCCCAGGACCTCCCCTGGAAAACCCTCCTACTATCCTTCCCCAACCAATGGGAACTCTCCAGGAGTCCTGTAACATGAGTCCAGTAGCAGGAGTCCAATTTCCATATGAATGTAAATCTTAACATAATCATATCATCTCAATGGCTAGCTGGTGTCACCTTAACCAAAGGTGCCATGCATCAATACTTTGCTGTGGCTCCTAGCAGAAGTCAATAAACATAATTCATCACATCAATAGGCTTAACGAAAAAAATCATCTCAATAGATGCAGAAAAAGCATTTGATAAAATACAATACCCTTTCATATTCAGAACACTAGAAAAACTAGGGATGGTAGGAACATACCTCAACATTGTAAAAGCTATCTATGCTAAGCCCAGGGCCAACATTATTGTAGAGGGAGAACAATTGGAAACATTCCCTCTAAGAACTGAAACAAGACAGGGATGCTGTCTCTCATCACTCCTATTTAACATTGTCCTTAAAACTCTAGCCACAGCAATTAGACAAAATAAATTAAAGACATTTGAGTTGGAAAAGAACTCAAAGCATCACTGTTTGCTGATGACATGATTCTATGCTTAGAGGATCCAAAAAACTCCACCAGAAAACTTCTAGAGTTTAAGTGAATTCAGCAAAGTAGCAGGATACAAAATCAACACCCAGAAATCAGATATATTTCTATACATCAGTGATGAACCCTCAGAGAAATTAGGAAAACGATCCCATTCACAATAGCCTCAATAAATAAATAAAAACAAAAGAGATGAAAGACCTATACAATGAAAACTACAGAACACGAAAGACATTGAAGAAGACCTTTGAAAATGGAAAGGTCTCCCATGTTCTTGGACAGGAAGAATTAATATTGTCAATGGCTATACTGACAAAAGTGTTATACAGATTAAATGCAATTCCAATTAAAATCTGTGGGGACAAGTGTCAGGAGTCACCCGGGCTCCAAAAACTAACTTCCTCATCCTCCGAGGAATGGGAAGAGCCACCCAATGGTGAGCCCTGCTGACTCGCATGATCCTTACCCACCAATCAGAAAGTGCCCTGTGCCAACTGTCAAACTTTTAAATCATTAAACTGTCGTAACTGTCAAACCGCCCCCAGCTCTATAAATATGCAGAGCTGTGACACTTCTCCACCACAAGCTTTGTCTGCTCGATCCTTCAGGGAGCTAGATTGGACTCCATAAGAAATAAGTGGGGAATAAATGACTGCCATCCCTCTGGTGGTGAATAGCCCCCTTTCTTTCCCAATGGCTGCGTGGGAGATTTCCCTCCGCTAGCTCACATGCCCTTGTGGCAGCTATGAGTTCAGCTTGTTGGTTAGTGGTATTGGGTGGGAGAGGTTTTGCCTCTATGATGGATGAGAGGGAAATGACAGCATACCCCGCCACTTTAACCCCTTCGTGTATAAAGGAGCTACCATACTGCATACAAGGCATATGTTAAGGGTGTCTGAGTGGTAGGACACTTACCCCATACACACAGCCCTGGGCATGAGGCCATGTGTTGCAGTTCCTGCACTTACTCTGCAGCCCACTCCTAGAGTGGTGGCTGCAAGTTAGCAGAAATTACATTGGTGGCTGCCTGTAATCTGCCTAGCTACTGCCTGAGTATATATACATGGTAACTGTGCAATAAACTCAGACTTGCTTGGTCTCTGGAGGTCTTGATGAGTGACTCTGCAGCCACACTCTCCTCTACCCTATTCCATGGGCCTCCTCACTGTACGAGTGAGAGCCCATGCAAAAATCCAAACAACATTCCTAAAAGAAATAGAAAAAGCAATCATTAAATTTATTTGGGAAAATAAGAAACCCAGACTAGCCAATGCAACCCTTAGCAAGAAGAGTGAAACAGGAGACATCACAATACCAGATATTAAACTGTAATACAGAGCTATAGTAACAAAAATGCTGAGGTATTGCCACCAAAATAGACATGTAGACCAATGGCACAGAATGGAAGACAGAGACAAACTCACTTAAACACAGTTATATCATACTAGACAAAAGTGCTGAAAACATACGTTGGCAAAAAGATAGTTTCTTTAAAAAATGGTGCTGGGAAAACTGGAAATCCATATGCAGCAAAATGAAATTAAACCACCGTCTCTTGCCCTGCATAAAACTCAAGTGGATCAAGACCTAGGAATTAGACCAGAGACCCTGCACCTAATAGAAGAAAACATAGGCCCAAATCTTCATCATGGCTCTGACTTCCTTTTATTTTTTAATCATGTCAATTAGGCTCTGACTTCCTTTTATTTATTAATAAATAAAATCAAGAATTAATAAATGGGATAGATTTAAACTAAAAAACTTCTTCTCAGCAAAGGAAACAATAATGTGCAGAGAGATTGCCCACAGAGTGGGAGAACTACTTTACTACACACACATTAGATAGAGTGCTAATCTCCAGGATGTATAAAGAACTCAAAAAAACTTAACATCAAAAAAATAAACAACCCAATCAATAAATGGGCTAAGAAACTGAACAGATGCTTCTTAGAAGAGATATACAATAGATCAATAAGTATATGAAAAAAATGTTCAGATTCTCTAATAATTAGAGAAATGCAAATCAAAACAGATTTCATCTCACTCCAGTCAGAATGGCAATTGTCAAG